ACTGGCAACCCTGATTCAGGCTGTTTATATGATGACGGTCAAAACAGAAGACACAAAAGTAGCGTGGCGCTGCGTCTTCACTTTTTATTCCGTGTTTTGACAAGCGTTTTTGGGAGGAAATCTGTGTGTGTACTGTGAACCAAAAGTGTGTGAAATTCGATTGGGTATGCTTGTACTTCAAGCAACAAGGGCATCTTTGGACATATGGAAGTTTTCATGCCACGCATTTTCATCAACTACTCCTTCCATAAAGTTGTCCCACCATCGACTGGTTCTCCAGGTCTCGTTCAGAGTCGTCTGTCTCGCCTGCGACAAACTGGTGCATTCAGAATTTGACAGAGGTGATTGCAGATCCTTCTCTGTTCACTCATATTATCTCTGTATTTTCTGTACATTTGTTGGGAGCCTCCTGTAAGTTTATTAGAGCTTTTCGGTCTGATGCATGGAAATGATCTGACATGTTTGTTTCTGTGTACTGTATGTATGTGACGTAAACGTGTACGTGAAGTGAGCAGATCTGACTAGAGTTTTGTGTCTTGGGCAGTGTAGAAGGAAACGCTATGGCGGATTGTATTCAACGTTTCCACTCTGGAGGGTGGTTTCAGATTTTTGCGTTTTTAAGCCCCAAAACGCCGTCAACCGTCTAAACGAAAGGCACTTCCGATAAAATATTTTGTCTTTTTTACCCACAAGCGTTCTCCTGTAAACAGGCCCTCAGTTGTGGCTATAGTACCTTTTTTAAACTGTAGGTCCCTGCATAGGCCACATTTCATTTTTCTTCTCTCGCTTCTTTCTCCTTGATTCCTCTCCTCGATTCAGCAGGAAATGGGTGAGGAAGTCCCACCCACAGAGAAGACAGAGTGAGGTGATGATATAAACTCCTCACTGATTCTTTTCTCTCCTTCCTTCCATGATTTTCTTTGGGACAGCACTTAATATGACACATTTGATCGACAGCTGAAAAATGGTGGCTCGAAGCGAGGAATCAAGGAGAAGGAAGCAAGGAAAGAGAAATGAGACGCGGCCTATATACAGTCCCTTTAAATTCAATATGTCTGTGTGTCAAACTGGCTTACATAACAGCTGTATAAACATGTTTACATTGAGGACCACTGGTTGGACTTTGACGAATCAGAGGAGAGATAATATCAAAACGCAAACATAAGAAGCTCTTTACTTTGGCTCAAATAACGGTTTCAAGAAATGTTTTGTGAACTTATAAATTGTGGGATTTTTTTTGTAGAGATAGAGGGATGAGGTACAAGATGTTCTGGAAGAGACGTCTAAAGCTAAAATTGTATTATAATTCAAGAAGTCAAAAGTGTCCAATCCAATTTTTTTGTTAAAGGTGTTTTGTAGTTTTCCGGATCTCATTTTTGAAAAGAATCAAAACTTTTTTTTTTCTTATTTGTGTGTATTTTTGTACTGATTAACGCTAAATCAACAAAAGAATCAGCACAGAAGCAGCACAGGTTTAGTGTGCAAAAAAAGGTGCATTAAAGGTGTATTGTGTAGCTTTTCTGGTGGATGCTTTTCTTCATGAATATGTTATTGTTTTGTCAATATGGTACTAAACCTTTCTATCTCATGAAGACCAAACCAAACATCAAGAAACCACTCACCTATTCACACACACATTTATACACCAGTGTACGCAGTCACTGGGGGCAAGGTGGGTTAAGTGTCTCGCCCAAGGACGCAACGACAGCGTTCATCTGTGGGAGCTGGAATCGCACCGCCGACCTGTGGGTCAGTGGACAAACGCCACTCCAACTGAGCTACTGTTGCCCCCATTCTATAGAGGCTTTGCACCGTCACGTGACCCCTATAGCAACGGTACCTACGCTGCCATGACACCGGGTCATTGACTTCAGTAGCATCAGAGAAACATGGGCAGGTTTTGTTGTGTATTTGGTTGTTCTAGACGCTCTGAAAGGGATAAAACGAATCGTTTCTTCACTGTTCCTCTGGAAATTACTCATCAGGAGCTCAAACAAGGAAATTATTGAAAAAAAGACGAGGATTAAAGCTAGCAAAAATAAACCACAAAGAGATTTCCTATGGTACCATCAAGACACCCGAAGTTTCATCAAGGTATTTGCTATTTAAATTGTTTCATAGCTTATTTAATGAAAGAAGCACATTTGCTGAACTAAAATTTCATTAAATTTATCCAGGAAAACCTGCACTAGTTTACGATTCAACGAACCCACACTGGGCTCCGATGATCAACATGGAGCACGAGTCAAAGAGTCTGTGAGCCAAACCTCGAAAGAATCGACCATGAAAAGATCCGCTCACAAAAAGCGATTAATTCTAGAAGACATAGTTGTGGATAAGCAAGACAATAAAGAAAACATGGGTCTTACGACGAGTGACATGTTTATATGTGCGTTGGAAGATACAGTTTCTACTGCTACTCACACTGCAAATGTTTTCTTTTTACATTTTAGTTCAGTAAATGTGCTTCTCTCATTAAATAAGCTATGAAACAATTAAAATAGCAAATACCTTGATGAAAGTGACGTGAGTGTGTCTTGATGGTACCACTGGAAATCTCTTCACGGTTTATGTTCTCTAGCTATAATCCGCGTCTTTTTTTCAATAATTCCATTGTTTGAGCTCTCTGATGAGTAATTTCCAGAGGAACAGTGAAGAAACGATTTGTTTTATCCCTTTCAGAGCGTCTAGAACAACCAAATACACAACAAAACCTGCCCATGTTTCTCCGATGCTTCTGAAGTCAATGGCATAGCGTGCCCGATGTCATGGCGGCGTAGGTACCATTGCCAGGGGGGACACATGACACGTGATGGTGCCTCTATAGTCCATATAAGCTACTCCTCTAGCTGTTTAGAAGTGAACCCGACTCTGCTCTGCTCAGGCCTTGTTCAAACATTTATCATTTAATTCCGTGAGTCACTTCAAAAACATGTATACAAAGTTTCTGATAACAGCATTCAATGGCACTTGTCCATCAAGGAACTTTCAGCAAGATATAAAGTGCATTGTTGGAGCTATTTGATAACGGTATTTTGTCTATTCTAAAATTAGTTTATTATTTTTGATTGTGAATTTAGTTTTGTTAATTTGCATACTGTGTTTTTGCTATGTTAATATAATGTTTGATAATTAGTTTCGTCTTATTTGGTTAGCACCTGAATCTATGGGTCACCTAGGGGATAAAAGAGGGTGGCACACGTAGACCAGAGTGCACCTGGGTGGGCCTATGTTTTTTTGTTTTTTTTTTTTTATCAGATGTCAGGAGAGGCAGCAAGAGTAGGCCTTAATCATGTATCCTTGTTGTTTGCCTAAAAGCTGGAATAAATCTTGGAAAATACAGCTTTGGTCCGGGATTTGTTTTTTCTTTCACTCCGTAAACCACAAACCCATGGTGCCCAAAAGTGATTATTTGAGTTATGTTTGGTTCTGAATTTGCTCACCGTTTTTGTTTGTTATTTTTCTTTGACAAATAGTCACATTATACGCAACCTGCAACTTCTTAAATTTAGTTTTACTGTAACTGTACCACAAGTGAACAGTATAATTGCTGCATGGAGAATAGTAGTGATCTGGTGCCCTCTAGTGTTCACTTTCAAAAATACCATCATCACTATAACATTTTATTTAAACTTTATCTAAACCACAGACTGTATATATAAATGGACATAGTTAACCTGCAAGTCGCCATATTCCAAACAGGAAGTGTTCATGGGGGTGCTTCCAGCTCCATTGACTCTGGCTCCACTGGACTGTACATTGAAAAAGTTTTGGTCTTAAAGGTGCATTGTGTAACTTTTCTGGTTGAGGGTTCGTCAAATGCTTTTCTTGCTTTGTCTGGAATGTTTCACAGTATGGGATTAAACCTTTCTATCTTCATGGAGACCAAACCAAACCAAGTTACAGGTCAGATCTGTGGAGAGGCGACCCCGCTCAGTCAGAATGCCTGTTTTTGTAGGTATTCTTGCGCTATAAATCCACCTGTAATTGAATAATTGTCAGATAGATCTGTTTAATCATACTGCTGAACTTCCTAGCCTGATTCTTCAGCTGGTTTCCCTTCGTGGAAACCGTCGACCTCGCAGCATTAGGATTCGTTCACTCGACAGTAGGCGAGTACTTTTTTATTTAACCAATCGCTGCTATTTGGTCATGACGTATGTAATGCACCAAATCCCGTAGGAAGAAGGGCAATAACGTCTTTACCCTTGATAAAATTCACCAAACATTCTCTTTGTTCCAGCTTTAAATCCTCGATCTCGGGAATCATTGCAACACAGAATGTCTGTCTTCGTCTACATCCATCTCGACCGCTTTGTTTACTGTTGTGCTGTTTCACAAAAGGGACCCAGACAGGCACTTGAGTTTGACGTCATGCCTTCACAGCTCTTCACTGATTGGCCGGTGCACGGTCTACAACTTCCAGGGTTCTTGCAAACCGTCTAGTGTATTCTGATCCCTGACCTAGTCGCTGGAGAGAAATGAACTAGGCACTACATGGCACAACCTGGCTAGAACATTCCAGGGAGTACATAGAAACAAGCAGGTGACAGCCCACAACCAAAAAGTTACATAATGCACCTTTAAAACATTTCAATTAACCCACTCTGTTCCCTGTTCCTCTGCTCCTGCTGTTTTTATTTCATTATTTTGTTTTCCGTAAATAAATTCCTGTGCCTAACATGGAACTGACTCCAAATTTGTCCCTATAACCGTCACAGTCCCTTTTGGCCCACTTCTTTATACAGTCTATGAACCCAGACAAAAGAGAGAATAACGACACTATGCTTAGGTTAGGTGTGGTCACATGAGAGGGTTCTCAAGGACATGAGAAAGAAAACGATGGGAAGAGGGAGGGGAGATGAGAGACTGGGGGTGTAGTCCAGGTGTTAGATAAAGATGTTTGGGGTTAGCTGGCCTTGTTTTCCATACTGCTATGAAAGACAGTTCAGTGAGGAGTTCTTTGCTTTGTCCGAAGAAATTTGGCGGCGGTTTTCTAAATGGGCAGTATTAAGAAAGTGGTCCTGATCACTGGGTGCTCCTCTGGGATTGGACTCAGTCTGGCCGTTGGACTGGCCTCTGATCCGGGGAAAAACTACAAAGGTAATGCTAATTTTGTGAATTTAATTAGGATTTCTGTTAACCAGCCATGTGTATTTCTTCAGAGGGATTGTTTTATGCTATTTTCTGATCTGTGTTATAAAGTTGTTTCCTTATTACAAAGATATCTGGAGTTGTGTTTCATTTCATTCACACAAATCCTGCATAAGAAGAGTTATTATCTAAAATGGCAAACACTCTGTTCCACCTTGCGATGTCATGTGATAATACAGGAAGTGCTCCACTGTGTTTTTAACCCCTTAATGCAGAATGCCAAAAATATGCAACAAACCATTTGGATCAAGTTATAAGCAGCTGCTTTCCCCAATCCTGTTTGGTGCACATGCAGGACGTTGTCGCAAATTTGCAACGTACCCAAACTTCTGTAATATTTTTGTTTTTGCTATAATCAAATTAATCATCTCAACTTAATTTACCATCTACTTAAAGGCAAAAACACACACAAAACATTTTTTATACCAGTCAAAAGTTTTAAAACAGCTTTTGACTGATGAAAGTGTCCACCTTTGGCAGATATAACAGCTGAACACACTCGTAGCTCGTTCTTTTTACAACAAAAATCAATTATTCTTCAGAAAGTTCTTCCCAAGTCTGTTGCAGAAGTTCCCATAAATGTGTGGCACTTGTAGGTTTCTTGTTTTTCACTCTTCTGTCCCGTTCATCCCAAACCAGCTCGATGGGGTTTAAGTCTAGAGACTCTGCTGGACACTCCACGTTTTCAAGCTTTACCATCTTGTTCTTTTTTCCTTAGGTAGTTTTGGCAGAGCTTGGACTTGTGCTTTGTATCTTTTATTGTTTTTTTAACCTCTGGCTGTTCAGGTCTTACATTTGTACCATTTCAAGTTCTTCATTGGACTTGCACGACTTGAATTGCAAGAAATAACTGGAAAAATTAGGGTGTTCTAATGCCCAATAATTTCGAAACTATACTAAACATACCGCTTCATGACTTTAAAGACATAGACAGACTAATAAATCAGGATTAAAACACAACTCCAGGTATGTTTTTGATGAAGTGCAACATTATTACACAGCTTAAAGCTCACAAGAGTCTGTTTTGCATGATAAAAGAAAGAATGCTGCCTGATAAAAGAAAGATATGTCTTGTTTTAGTTTACGCTACCATGAGGAACCTTGAGAAGAAGCAGCGTTTGATGGAGAGTGTGAGAGGACTGCACCAGGATACTTTGGACATATTGCAGATGGACGTGACCGACCCGGTGTCCATCCAAAGAGCTAAGGACAGAATACAGGAGCGCCGTGTGGACATTTTAGGTACTGTTCACATTTCAACAAGTGTATTTGATATTATGGAGTTACTGTTGTGTCTAAAAGAGCCCATATCACGCTATTTTGTGATCCGTGTTATAACGTTGTTTCTTCATCACAAATGTATAATTTTGTGTTTTATTTCATTCACACGTTTACCAAAGTAATCCTGCGTATTCAATCGGAGTTCACTTCACACAAAGAAAACTCTCTGTTCCCCCTTGTGATGTCATGCAGTAATACAGGAAGTGCTCCACTGTGTTTTAAAACTCCATACACCTTCACTAGAATCATTCGGAAATCAGTAAATAAGGGTAGATTTGACCATTATTGAACAATATTGACGATATTTTATTGTTAACTGAGTGATTGTGTCTCTCTGAACAATAAGTATTACTCAAGTTTTAAACAATGAAAAACAGTAATTAAACTAGCAATAAAAGGATCCATAAGTCCTATCGTCGAGTGAACTTATCCTAATACTGCGATGTCAGATGGTTTTCACAAAAACCGGCTGATGAATTAGACTAGGTCACTAGGCCACTTTGCTTCAGTTCAGTTCCAGGCCACTAGCAGCTTCATGTTTCGATACTAATAGGTCCTTTGCCGGCTTCTGGTGCTCAGGCCTAAAAATAATAAATAATAAATTCTAAACAAGTAGTAAAAATAGCAAGGGACTGGTGTCAAATAAGGCATAATTATATAAATGTATATGTACAAGTAAATTTTAAATAAAAATTGAAATATAGTCACATATATAGTCACAACTCATCTGTTACATAAAGGTGTGTTGCTGCACAGTTGTAGGGAGTATTATCTGTTACTTAAGGGTGAGTTGCTGTACAGTTGTAGGGAGTATTATCTGTTACATAAGGGTGTGTTGCTGTACAGTTGTAGGGAGTATTATCTGTTACATAAGGGTGAGTTGTTGTACAGTTGTAGGGAGTATTATCTGTTACATAAGGGTGAGTTGTTGTACAGTTGTAGGGAGTATTATCTGTTACATAAGGGTGTGTTGCTGTACAGTTGTAGGGAGTATTATCTGTTATGTAAGGGTGAGTTGTTGTACAGTTGTAGGGAGTATTATCTGTTACATAAGGGTGAGTTGTTGTACAGTTGTAGGGAGTATTATCTGTTATGTAAGGGTGAGTTGTTGTACAGTTGTAGGGAGTATTATCTGTTACATAAGGTGAGTTGTTGTACAGTTGTAGGGAGTATTATCTGTTACATAAGGGTGAGTTGTTGTACAGTTGTAGGGAGTATTATCTGTTACATAAGGGTGAGTTGTTGTACAGTTGTAGGGAGTATTATCTGTTACATAAGGGTGAGTTGTTGCAGAGTTGTAGGGAGTATTATCTGTTACATAAGGGTAAGTTGTTGTACATTTTCTGAAACTTTTGATCCCCTATAGTTAATTAGTTCATTCAATTTCAACACTTTTTAAAACTGAAATGTCATATTCATTGCTCTCCTCGTGCAGTGTGTAACGCCGGCGTGGGTCTGATGGGTCCTCTGGAGGTGCAGGGCCCAGAGGAGATAAGGAGGGTGATGGAGGTGAACCTGTTTGGAACCCTCCAGACCCTCCAAACCTTCCTCCCTGATATGAAGTCCAGAGGAGAGGGACGAATCCTGGTCACAGGCAGCACCGGAGGGCTGCACGGTGAGGCTATGTGTACTCTCACTGCAAATACAAATACAAGATATACTAGAGTTAAACGTCCCATATTACACAAAATTGACTCTTGTGAGCTTTAAGTCATGTTAGAATGTTACCTCCTCAAAAACATACTTAGAATTGCGTTTTGTTTCATTCACACATGTTTGAGTAACCTTTTATTATTCGTCTGTCTGCATTCCCAAAGCTCAAAATGCTGTTCCACCTTGTGATGTCATGCAGTGGTAGTTTTCAAGTAAACATCTCCTTTTACCTTTAGTTCAATAGAGATTGGCAATTCCAGGGCTGAAATCATCCAAACGATTCTAGTGAAGGTGTATGGAGTTTAAAAACACACTGGAGCACTTCCTGTATTACCACATGACATCACAAAGTGGAACAAACTGTTTTCTGTTTGAGAGAAGAATTCAGCCTAAATATGCAGAGTTTGTGTGTTATGAATGAAACAAAACACAACTCCAGGTATGTTTGTGATGAGGAAACAGTATTATATAGATAGATCAGAAAACAGCCTAATATGCTCCTGGGACCTGAAGAAAAAAAGTGTATTGCAATATATATAAAGATTGTGATTTTCTCTCTATTTGGAGGTAAATGAACCTTAGCATTGCCATTTTGTTCATTTTATTTTTATTTATAATATTATAACTTGTCCTCTGTAATGGACGCTGGGGACATTTCGGTGTTAAATCCATGTGAAGTTGACAACGATGACCAACATCTCTGAGCTTCTACAGTTGCTTCAAAAAGTTTTTAGACTCTCTTTTAATCTCTTGTTTATTTATTTATTTATTATTATTATTATTATTATTATTATTATTATTATTATTATTATTATTATTATTATTATTATTATTATTATTATTATTATTTATCATACTATCTCCTTTTGAGATCATTTTTTATCCTTGACATGATAGTACCCTATAATCCCTCAGCCCTATTTAGGCAGAGGAACCTAAACATTTAAAAGATCGACTGGTTAACACTCATTGTCCACTATAAAAGACACAAATGAATGGGCTGTGTCTCAGGAGGAGATGGGCCCTTCAAATTAAACAATAGAATAGAATCAAATTTATCTTCATCACAGTTTATTTAGTTTAAAATCAGTTGTTTGGAGTAAAACAGTAAAACATTTATCTCCATGGAGACAGCAGGTGGCACCACCAGGCCATGTTATAAGTCAGATGTTTTTAAATGAGAGTTTGAATACTCCATGTTTTGCCGCACTGGAGAACATTCCAGCAATAACTTCTCCATGGAGACAAGCAGGTGGCAGACCCTCCACCAGAAAAATCTCATAGTTCACCTTTTTTCCCCCCATGTATTTATGTTCTTTTTTTTTTTTTTTTTTTTTTTTTAACAATACATGTTTTGTGTAATTTTTGAAGGCCTCCCCTTTAATGAAGTGTACTGTGCCAGTAAGTTTGCCATAGAGGGAGTGTGCGAGAGCCTGGCCATCCTCCTGCAGCACTTCAACATGCAGTAAGTCCCACGTACCACATCTTTTCATGTCTAAAGTCAAATATAATAAAGTTAAAAAGTCATATATTTTGTAAAATCAGGTCTTAAGATATAGTGTCAAAATAGTCCTATCATACACACGCACGATAAAACATACATGACAAATATGTGACCTGCACACAAAACAACCACTGGGGGGAAGATGCACCCTCGAAAAGACACCAAGCTCTCTCGAAGTTGTTTTCTGACCCAGGACTAAAACAGGTCTAAAACAAGGCTAAACGAGGACTGAAACAGGTCTGAACCAGGACTAAACCAGGACTAAAGCAGGACTGAGTGTTGGGATGGGCCCGGAGGTGCACCCGACTATCGGGTGATCAGGAATGAGACCGGGACCAGACTGGGACCAGACTGGGACTGAGACTGGGACTGAGACCAGGACCAGACCGGGACTGAGACCAGGACCAGACCGGGACTGAGACCAGGACCAGACCGGGACTGAGACCGGGACCAGACCAGGACTGAGACCAGGACTGAGACCAGGACTGAGACCAGGACTGAGACCAAGACTAAGATCGGTTTAATTCTGGCTTAGACCTGGTTTAGACCTGGTTTAGAAAACAACTTTGAGAGAGCAGAAATGAATCTTGCGTGAGCAGAAATCAACTTCTCAAGAGTCTTTTCGAGGGTGCGTCTGCCCTCCAGTGGTTGTTTTGTGCGCAGGTCACAGATTTCTCCTCGTGTGCTGAGATAATTTGCTCAATCATTGTTAATCTCTATGTGTGTGAAATAATACAATACACCTGAATGCATGTTTTATAGTGCGTGTGTATTATGAGACTATTTTGACACCATATTAAGGTCAAAATAAGCTATGTGCTGTGGGCATCCAAATACAATCATTTATATAATTCGTGAACCAGGAAGTAAGGCTAGTAATAATTATGCAGAAATAATACAGGTTGGGTTTTCAGTGATCTTCTTGTGTCTTTGTCCAGTGTGAGCCTGATTGAATGTGGTCCAGTGAACACAGATTTCTTGGTAAATCTTCAGAAAACCGAGCCTGGCGACTCCTCCTTAAATGCACTGGACCCTCTCACAATGAGCCTCTACGAGAGCTTCCTGATGCATTGTGGGAAGGTTTTCCAAAACGCTGCCCAAGACACTGAAGATATTGTCAAGGTGGGGATTGGTGGGAATCAGGATTGGGTCCTTAAAAGTGTACTGTGTAACTTTTCTGATGGGGGGGGTCTGTCACCTGTTTGTTTTTTATGCATATGTCATTGTATGTCTGTTCAAATGCATTGTTGCAGGTTTTTCTGGATGCAATCCGGTCTCCTGAACCAGCTTTCAGATACTACACCAATGGAACAGCGCCTCCTCTGGTCAAACTGAAGACTTCACAGCCTGACGGACTGGAGTACATCAGGGAAATGGGGAAACTCATTTTTCCACAAGACCAAGAAGAAGAAGACCATGATCTCGTCTAGTGTGGGCCTATGTGTGTGTTTTCTATAGTCTGTAATGAAATAAGCTGCACTGACAAAATAAGTCTAAGCCTACTCAACATTACAGGGAGTGAATGAATAAAACACATTTCAAGTGCAGATGAAAGTGTTTTTCTTATTATTGTTTTCATTAGTGGGATAGTAGCTGTGCTAAATACTTATCATAATGTTACATCAGTTAAGTGGCATTTGGTGAAGGAAAAAAGAGTTTTAAAACATATCGATTACAGTAGAAAGACTATTCAAAAGACAAGCACTATTTAAGCCCATTTTCAAACCTTAATTTAAAAAAAGAAAGTAGTTTTCATATGTTTTGATTTGTTTAATATTAAATGCATAATTTCAAGTTTCAAGTGTACAGTGGGAACAGGAGATTACCTAGTGTGATGTTGCCATTTACAATCAGAAAGTAAAATTAAATGATAAACCACAAAAAATTGATAAATCCATCTTGTAAAAGGTTTTAGTAAAAACTTAAAGGCACAGTCTGTAACTTTCTGGAGGTGACACGCCAAATTTCTATTTTCTACCTGGACAACTGAGGGATTGTACACACATTCTCCATAGAGATATGTAAGTTTTATGCCATACAACCAAAGGAATAACACTGGAAACAAGAGTCAGGTTTGTGGAGATGCAAGAAGGCTTACAGGAAGGACGTGTGTCTTCGTGCGTTTTCAAAGGCAAAAAACACAACAACAACAAAGAAAACCCAACATGATTTTAATTTCGTAGTCTCTTGTATATGATAGTTTTTCAAGATTCAAGATTTTGTTACTGTCATAGAAAAAAATTTTTAAAAAATACATTTAGAGCACTAAACACTGTGTAGTTTTAATATAAAGTGCAATACCAATTTGCAAGACCCTATATTTTGACTAAAAGGAATAACTTGTATTATTATAAACTTGTAACTTAATACTGTGGCTTTCAATTTGAGTGAAATGAGTGAAGTTCAGTCTGTCACGGGCACTTTAAGGACTCTAATGAAAACTGCAAACTTCTGGAAGTTATTTCCACAGCACCACATCCTGGTTACTGCTGCTGTGGTTACAGGGCGGTGTGGAATGTCTGGAGACGGCCGTTAAAAGAGATTTTCAGACTGGACCAGGTCTGAGGCAGGTCTCCCTCTGTCTTTATCTCGTCAAAGAATGTCTCAGATTGCACAGGGGCCAGTGAAGAGACCAACTACGTGACTACAACTACTACACTAAACTGAAACTAAAAGTCCTATCTAGAAGACACAATGTATTTTGTTGAAATTGGAAACTGTGTCTCAGATCACATAGCCCTGACCTGTGGGGTGCCCCAGGGGTCGATCCTGGGCCCCCATTTGTTCAATCTCTACATGCTGCCCCCTACAGGCCAGTTAATACACAGCAATAATGTGTCCTACCACAACTATGCAGATGACACACAGATCTATGTTTAACATAGACACAAACACATTACTTCTGGAGTAAGTGCTATAGCTTTACCATAGTGGGAGAGAACCAGCATTTTCAAGTTCCAAAAAGTAAATAGTAAATTAAAAAAGTAGATAAAAAAACACAAAATAATGCATATGTTGTGAGAAGCTCTGTCAGATTCACCTGTAAGTGCAGACACTGGCGATCTTGTCTGTATACATTATAACATGCATTATTCCTCTTATTCTTATTTTTATTTGTATATACTTACTTAATATAAACCAGATATTATGCGTTCTTAATAAAGATTGAATTGAAAATATATTTAAGGTATATTTAAATGAATAAAAACTACATTGGTGTATTGGGCAATAGGTCAGTTGTTACATTTATTTATTTTTTTTAATTCTGAAGTCATGTTTTTGATACTTTGCAGCTAATGTCATTAACATTCCCTGAGGGTGTGATGCTAACTAAAGGCACTGCTCAGTCGGAAGCTTTGTTACACAAATTAGAGTTTAATCTGAGCTTTGTTTTAACACAATCTGAAAGAACAGACTCAGCTGGAACTACAAGTGAGCAGATTTTCTCACACATTAGACAACAGTTTTTAAATTAGTCACCCTCACCTTTTTAAGAAGGTCTCTACTGAACCACTGCATGACATCACAAGGTGGAAGAGAACATTTTGAGCTTTTGAGACATTAATAATTATGGATTACTGAAACATGTGTGAATGCAAACAAAACAAAACACAACTAGGGTTATGTTTTTGATGAGGCAACAACATTATAATATGGCTTTATAGTGTATTTACGTTACATAAGACCTTTAAATTATAAATCACTATGGCAACGGTCCTCATTTTTTATTGTTTTGAAACCATGGACAAATCAGTTCACACATATAGGGACAATAATCCTTCCCATTGGATCCAGTGCATCAGAAATCATATTCTACTGTTATTGACGTCACATAGTCTGTGTTTTGACTTCATGTATTAATCATTAACACTGATCGATCATTGAACTTTGCTTATGACGTTATCTGCCCCACATCTCCTCACTTTTGAGTTTTCAGTCACATGCAGAGGTAATAATCGTGTAACTCGTGTAACTAAAATCAATAACTTTCTAACTTCTTACTTTCATTTGAGTGATTAGTTATATTAAATATATGTCTACCTCGGGACGGCTGTGGCTACAATAATAATCAGTGGTGGATGAAGTAATCAATGTTGTTATTTAAATAAAACAGAAACAGAGGCAAAAAGTTACTCAAATAAAAGTATCACATGAAAAAAGTTGCATTATGTAACTTTTCTGGTAGCCTGATTCATCAGTCGGTTTCATTTCGCGGAAACAGTCTGACCTTGCAGCGTTAGGTACTGATGGTAGGTGGGTACTTTTTTTAATTTAACTAATCTCTGCTATTTGGTGGTGACGTATGTAATGCTCCAAATCCCATAGGAAGAAGGACAATAAGGTCTTTCCCCTTGAAAAAATTCACTAAACAATCTCTTTGTTCCGGCTTTAAATCCTCAATCTTGGGAATCGTTGCCAACACAGAATATATGGCTTCGTCTACATCCATCTCAACCACTTTGTTTACTGTTGTGTTGTACCACAAAAGGACCCAGACAGGCTCTTGAGTTTGATGTCATGGCTTCACAGCTCTTCGCTGATTGGCCGGTGCACGGTCGACAACTTCCGGGGTTCTTACAAACCGTCTAGTGTATTCTGATCCCTGATTTAGTCACTGGAGAGAAATGGAATTAAGTGGAGGCACTAGGTGGCACCAGCCTTTCTTCTTTTCTGTGGAGGCTCCATCAAAATACTTTTCATCATGAAAATGTTATTGTTTTGTCTGGAATGTTTCACAGTATGGTACTAAACCAAAGCCAAACCTGTGGAGAGGCGACCCCACTCACAGTCAGAATGCCTATTTTTCTCTGTATTTTTGAGCTGTAAAACCACCTGTAATTGAATAAATGTAAGGTAGAGCTGTTTAATGTCATACTGGGGAGCATTTACAAACATGCATGGAGTTGTGTTTTATTTCATTCATTTCATGAGTAAGTTGAGTATTCCTTTATTATTAGTCTGTCTACATCTCCAAAGCTCAAAACACTCTTACACACTTACTGGTAGTTTTCAAGCTAACAGCGACATTTTACGTTTTGTTCAGTAGAGGCCAGAAATTCCAGGGTTGAAATTCTTCAACTGAATCTGAAGGTGTATGGAGTTTAAAAACACAGTGGAGTACTGTACTTCCTGTATTACCACATGACATCACAAGGTGGAACAGAGTATTTTCAGTATGAGAAAAGAAGCAGGGTTTGTGCGTTAAATGAAACAAAACACAACTCCCTATTTTTGATGATACATTATAACATAGATATGAAAATAGTGTAATATGGGCACATTAAAGTACATTGTTGTAGAATATTTAACACATACAACAGGTTATGAAACGGGAAACGTCAAAACATGCTTTAATCAAAAATGCTTATGCAGTAAATATAACTGAAATGAACTGTAGCCTTTTCTACAACACATGACCCCACTCAATCCCTGTTGTCTTTGCGAGACTGTGAAGTGGTACTTTGACATTGATTGGACTGTTAATACTTTAAGGTAATCACGGCTTAAGTATTGACTCCCTTCACTCTACACAGGAGTTGATCAATCACTCGTCAATTCTTTTTTAGTCTCAGCCCTTTATCTGGACTTTAAGATGCTAATAATAGTAAGTGACCAAAATCCACACCACTCCAGATAAGAGCGAGATTTAAAGAGCCCACATGACTGTTTTCCCATCAATGTTCTAATGTTGTTTGCTCATCAAAAACAGACCTGGAGTTGTGTTTTATTTCATTCCCACATTTAACACACAAATCCTGCACATTTAGGTTCTTCTCTCAAACTGAAAACACTCTTTTCCACCTTGTGACGTCATGTGGTATTTGAGGAAGTGTTCCATTGTGTTTCTAAACTCCATACGCCTCCACTAGAATCATTTGGATTTTTGGATCTTTGAATTGCAAATCTTTGTTAAACTAAAGGTAAAAGGAACTGTTAACTTGAAAAATGTTGCATCAAGTTTCGTCTTTAAATAAAATATTACTGAAAGGGGCTGTATGACTCATGTTCACACTGGGTAAATTATGAAAGGAACTACTGAAGCAATAAGCAAAGGGACTGATTAAAAATTAAACAATGTGTCTGGAAAAAAACACAAAAAGAAGTTGAGTTGTAAATGTTTCCAGAGCAACAAAGCTGCCCCAAAGGTCACACCCATTAATAAGAGTGTTCAACACCACAGTGTTTTTAAACCTTTGTACACCTTCACTAGAATCGTTTCTAGTGGATTCTAGTGGAATTTTGACAATCTCTACTGAACTAAAGGTAAAAGGTTCATTTCAAAACTATCACTACAAGGTGGGACAGAGCATTTTGAGCTTTGGAGATGTTACTCAGACTTGTGTGAATGAAACAAAACACAACTCCAGGTCTGTTTTTGAGGAGGTAACAACATTATAACATGACTTGAAGTGAAGAGAAGAGTTTATTT